CGCCTTCTTGACATGCCTTCGTGGTGTGGTGGTCTGCACGCTGGGCGTGTATTCCAGAGGTCCGTGGTTCGATTCCCGGCGAAGGATTTGCTAATTTTTCAATTCTCCTGCTTCCAAAAAAATAATCTAATGTCTCTACAGTATTACAAGGTGTGGTTGATTCTGTTAACACGAGAAGTGCATTTATGTTCAAAATTCTGTTTTTGTAAAAAAGGTTGTTTAAACCTTTTCAAGTTTCTGTTTTCACTTCAGACTCAGCGATAATTCGCTTTACATCTGTTAGGAGTTTGGAACTAGTTTATGCTCCCAAAGCAATTCAGACACTGGAACCATTAAGCAAAGTAAGCACGTTCATAGCACATCAAGGAAAAGGGGCAGTACAAAAAATGGGCTTAGGCGCTCAGGAAAGGGCCAACCACAAAAATTTTCCATTGCTGTTTTACCATGAAATGTTTGGTGCAGCGAAAATGCCAGGGAATTTGGGAAAACTGGTGTAAATATATATGGGGGGCATCAAATATTTTCAAGTGCTTAGGGACTCTTAAAGTCTTAATCCGCTCCAGCTTTTGTATACATTCAAAAAGCTTTTGGTTCAATACCTCGCTTACTAAATTATTCTTAAAAGAAGTAGGCGTGCAGCTAATTCTTATGCCAACGACTATTGCTTTGATGTTAGCAAGTTATTGCTATGACTATTAATCAGTTAACACCCACAGACAGATTGGGACTTAATAAAATATTGTTTATCCCCTTCTAGTGAATTACAATTAAAACTAGAATGTATAGCACTGAAAAAGTTGATTAATTGATTGACAGAAAGAAAACTGAGGCAATCTGCTCTTAGTATTTCAAATTACCAAAAATATGTTTCTCTCTGACAGCACACCTGATTGCTGCTGTGAACTAACTAATCGCTTAACTAGTCACTGGAGAAAATTGACGGCTCAATTATCTAAATGTAAAGTACTAGACTTATTTAGCTAAAAAAGCGCCGTAATTGTTTGCAAAAGTAGAATTTCATTATATTCTTCTATCAGTTATCTCGGCGATGTAGAATTATAAATTACAGAAGACTGTGAAGTAGTCTGGGAAGATGTGTGATTAGCCGGTTTTTGGATAACAAAAGGGCCGACATGGAACATTATCGGAACTTTGCTATCCTGGGTGTCATCCTGAGTTACCAGAAGTTTATTCTACTATAAAACTTTCATTCTCCATTTATGCACTAAAATGAAAAATGAAATACTAGTGCAAAGTGAATTTCTTTATTTTGCAAGCCATTTCGGAAACAGGAAGTTGGAGAGGTGTGTACCATATGCATATGTGTTTTTCTGTTACCGGAATTGGTGCCTTCGAGATATGGAACAAGAGTTAAGATATCCAATAGTATGTTTCCATTTGGAAAACAACAAAACTCCAGTTTATTTATATGGTTTCTCACAAAATGCTATGAAAAAGAAAATGAGTATATCATCGGAAAGGAAGGATTTACTTAAAACGAAAATCATAAAATTGCTTTATAATTTAGCAACTGTGTTTTTTAAATCATTTTTATATATGTTTACTTGTTAGAATATCAGAAGCACGGTATTCTTTCAAAAACATTTACATGTGTTCTCTTGTAGTATTTAACCTCTTTCACTGAGATGCAACACTGATCTAGTAATTTGGCAATGACAGAGATTAAAACAAAAAATTTTTTAAATATCACATTTTTGATAACTAGTCGTTAAGTGCGACTCGTTTTCTAACTATTTAAGTTGAAGCAATGTTATTCTAAATATTTAATAATATCTTAATTAAATATCTTAATTAATAATAATAGCATAAATGATAAATAGTCGTTATAACTGATTATTGCAATAACTATTATTACGATTGTGGAAATGACTCTGGTTACAGCGATATATTATGAGCAATTATAATTTTTAGAAAAGAAAGCGTAAATAATCCCCCCCCCTCCCGAAAAAAATTGATTATTCGAATTTTCTGAATATCCTGATCCGTTGCGGTTCTATTTAACCTGAATGTTTGGAATTCTGCTCTGCTGCTATAAAGGGTATGATTAGCCATGATTATATTTGTGAGGCCCAGAGAGCTTGTTCTAATTTCTCCTGAAGCACAAAGTTAGATACGGTTGGCATTAAGGATGGTAAGGAGAGCGCCCGTAGGCTCTTAGCGATGAAGGCCTCTTTACTGTTTTCGTCGATGCTTAATGCTAATAGTGCAGTTGTAGATTCTAAAGTAATCGCAGTAGAAATCTTATAAATTAAAAACATCTAATGTAAGATTTTGTTGCTCAATTTGGCATTTTTAAGGAAATTTTAACGGCGAATTTTAATAACTAATTTTGAAAATTTCACAATAAATAAAACATATGGGACAAATTTAATATTAAAAATATGAAATAATGAACGGTTAATAATAAATATGTCAACACGAGTTTGAAACTGCGCTACAGACCTGGCTTCTTCTTTTTACATTCTTTGAAAGGGGAGTGAATTGAAATGACGCATTTTTGTAGAATCAACAATCAATCATTCGTCTGGGTTTATCACTGAGATCATATTCTCTGTCATTTTCGAATGCTGTCTTAGTTTTCAACAATTTTTAAAGCAATATTTTTACCACATATTTTGCATAGAAACCGATAAGAATTTTGATTATATTTGCATGCTTTTCTATATTTCACCTGTAAATACGACGTCATCATAGTTCTCGATGGCTCAGTCATCGGACGAAACTTATTCCATGGTATTATGTATCTGTCTAGGTACAGCTATAGGTAAAAGTGTTGTACCATGGACCAACTGGTTGAACCTACTTATTTAACGTACTTGGTATTTATTTATAAAAAATAAAACTGTAAGTGGTCTGGGCGTTGCTGATTGCTCTTGTTATTTTTGGTATTTGATGAAAAAGTTCCGGTGATATCATTTTTAGGACTGGATATGTATTTAGTCGTATATTAACAAAACAACGTAGCACGTCCTATGAAAAAAAAATATTTTTTTTAATAATTGCAGGTATTAACGTTTTAGGTTTAGCCATTTTTTTTCTACAGTATAACAGTGTCTTATAAATTCTAAATGAAAAGTTTTAAATCCTGTGTTTTCAAATAAACTGCAAATTATCTTTTCCATAGGAGACTACAACGAGTATAATAATGTAAAAAAAATATCACTTTCGTCGACAACTGATTTTTTTTTTCTTTCATCTGATATTTCAGATCTGTGATTTAATTCTCAGGAATTTTAGAGAATATTTCATATACCATTCGAGGAGGGGGAAAGGGGAGGATTGTTCGTGGGAAGTCAACGAAATGCTTGAAATTCCTAACTGAATCTGAGACTACCTCGAATGTCGAGAAAGATAAAATAAATAAAAAAAAAAAAAGAGAGAGAGAGAGAGAAATAAACGACGAAGCGTAACTGATAAGTCTGAAGGGGGCAGGGTGGGACAATACGCGGGAAGCCTGCGAGGTCACGCTTTGATGCGAATTAACGGTGCCCTGACGCAGATGTTCGGAATTTCACTACGATAACAGCGTGACCAAGAGCCAGACTTGCTTTCTCGTTTATGGTCCAGTGAACAGAAGCGTAGTAAGTGAACATGTATAAATGAAGTAATGTATAGGTCCTACCGCATTGTTTCGAGCAACAAACAGCTGCTGAATAGGAAATCATGTAAGTTGAGTCAAATAATAAAGAGCTATTATTCTGAGGCTACCTGAAAGATCTTAGTCATATTTGTCTGTGTACATGTCTAACTTCTAGCCTGTTTTATATATAAATGTAAGCTATCCAACGTATTTTGCGATTTATTCCGGAAAAGTCTTTATTTAAACTACCTATAAAACAATGAAGAATAGACAAAAGCAAATTTCATTTATTAAAGTCTATTAGTTTGAGCTGACGAACCATATTAGTTTGAAACTGCTTCTGGTTCCTCTGCTCTGTTGCATGGTGTCACTCAGTCACAAATGCTTCATTCGTCTGAACTTCGCGATTTGCTAAATCATTATGTAATTCTCTCATCGTTTCTCATTTCTTTCTTCAGTGAAAAAAGCGCAAATGGAAAAATATCAAAATATTAAAGGAGTATATAATAGCATGAACAAAATTTTAAAAATAAATGTAGACAGAAACTTTCAAACTCCATGTCACAAAAAAATTTCATCCTAACTTTTAGATTTTATTCTGATTCAGATGTCTTTTATGTCGTATGATGCAGATGTCGTTAGAAATTTTGTAGTTCTGCAATTCACAGGATTCTAGAATCCTATATTACTCATGAAACTCGTGGCGTAATATAACACTTGTTACAAAATATTGCTAAGAGGCCCAGGTAAAACTGTGTCATTTCATTTATGTTAACTTGCAGTTTGAATTTATTTTTGAGACTTTCCTTTATACTTCTTGTGACCACGTACTTGCTCAATCCGGAGGTGTATGCAGATTTTATGGCAAAGGACTTAGTTTAAAATGAGCGGACGAATCTTAACCGATATGACTTGTAGTACTATGACCAGTATTGTAAGTCAAGGAGACTTAAATTTTGTGTTTTATTTCAAGATAACTCAGAAGTGGTGAAAAAAATAAAAGATTTTGTATTTTGTGTGTGTGATGCTTTCGCAGTTAGCTTAAGTTAAAGTTTCGCAGTTGGTTTAAAAGTTGCCACCCATAGTAAAGATAACGTTCGAGGGTGCGCGGTTAGTAGAAGTGCTTTTAACCAGAAGAGCACTTCTCAGATTGTTATAAAAATATTTTATTAAAATGATTAATTTACGCTGTATTAAGCAACACACATTCATGATATAGAAAATGAATATCTGAAAGCTCTTGTACTTCAATGGTTCGCAACATGTCTACTTACCACGAACAAGATTTTATTGCTAAGTGAAAACATTTTGAAGTGATTTTTCTTTTATGTATTAATAAATAAAAAATACATAAATGAAGTACTGATTATGGTTACATTTATTTTTTATTTATTTGCAGGTATGCAATCATTATCTGCTGCATCATGAGAAAGCTACGCCCGTTTCAGTTATTTGGAGCTTATGTCCTCTATTTCATTCTTACTGTGGAAAAGCCGTGCATTTATGCCTCCAAGCCAAGTGATGTTCGTAATCTGATCGTTTTTGTGGATCACGCACATCCAAGCCCGTTCCAAAGAATTGTTGTTCACAACGGATCTCGAGACGTATACGTGAGTGCTAGAAATTCACTGTACCATTTTGATGAAAATTTGAAAGTGAAGAGCAAAGTATCGACGGGACCAGAATTAGACAATCCAAATTGTCTTCATCCTTCCTATCCTTGCGACAGCAAACGAGTAATGTCGGATAATGACAATAAGGTGTTGGAAATTATTTATGATCCGCACCTACCCATGTTACTTTCGTGTGGGACCTTATATCAAGGACTGTGCCAGGTGCGACCTATTGGCAAATTAGTGTCTAACAGGTTCAGTTGGGTAGGCCCATTTAATGAGAGCGTGGGCTTTACGGCTGGAAAGAATTCGACGATAGCATTTTTTGCCCCTGGTTATGGTAGACAAACGTCATTGTATTCGGCGGCGACGTATGATGATCGTCCTTTGGAATACTCTCCTGCTTCAGTTTCCAGTAAAGTGTTGGTGCGCAAGGACGACAACTCGGAATACAAATTTGCTTTCGAATATTCATATCAATCAAATACTTCCTTCACTGGTATCAATTTCGACAACCGCTACAGGCGACTGTACAAGGTATGCTCTCTAATTTATTGTTCATTAAATAAATCTACGATGTTAATTAAAAGTCTGTTTTAAATTTATAATTATGTTTGTTATAATATTCTGCTTGAACTAGATGCATTGAGTACAAATGCCTTGATAAAATAACTTTTATTAAAAGACAAAAATTCAACTGTAAGTTTAATATAAAACATGCTTAGTTAAGAAAATAAATATACGAAGCTTTTGTGCATATAAATCTAGTTTAGTTATTTCTGTAACTCTGAGCTTGTATTGGTGAAGAGAAAAGAATTTATATAAAATTTTTGACGAATATTTAAATACTAGAGTAGCAACAAGGGAATGCTCGAAGAGTGTTTCTTGCTTGCAACATTTCCCTTACCGCTTTGTTGGCCTGGTAGTGGGAATTCCATAGACTTGGGCCATATCTGAATCCTTTAGAAGACATGGATGTTTGTAACTGCATTGTATCTTTGAGGCATGGGGCCACTTAAAACTTTGCTATCGATCAAAAAGTCCGCTTGAGAAACTGGTTATAGGGAAATAAAGGTAGGAAATCCTCGGATCCGCTCTCCACGGATTTATTCGTCCTACCGCTTGGCCTTATAGTGGCCTACAAGCGATTCACGTTATTATTGTAGATACGGAATCCTTTAGAAGACATTTTGACCGCATTGTTTTTTAATTTCAAAGCCTCTACAGGACACTTTAACTTTGCTACACCGTTAATTTTTTAAAGCCAGCCTTACCGAGGAAGGGTTTTGGATAAGGTACCCCCACTATATCGAAACGCCTTTTTCTTATCACTGTAGGCAATTCGCTTTGGACACAAATGAAGAGTCATTAGTCCTGTAGGGAGTCAAAACCGGCTTTGACACCCAAGTAGTGTCCAAGTCGCAAGACACAACCCTTGCCTCTTGACCACGTTAAAATTCGTAGTTGGTTGAGATTCAGATCACAAGGATTATTAACAACAAATATTCCCCACTAAGTGTAATTTTATAATAATTAATGCTTAACCGCACATTGATTTTTATGAAGTTACGCAGGTACTTACAGCCCACGTATATCGTAGACGCCTTTAAGATATTCTTATCACTGTAGGCAATTTTAAGTATTGCTTTGACACAAATGTAAGTAATTGTTATCATGTAGTAAGAGATCATGTAGAGATTCGTCAAAACTACAACGGCTTTGGACAAACCCGGGATGTTATCTGTATAGTGTCCAAGTCGCAAGACACAACCCTTGCCTCTTGACCACGTTAAAATTCGTAGTTGGTTGAGATTCAGATCACAAGGATTATTAACAACAAATATTCCCCACTAAGTGTAATTTTATAATAATTAATGCTTAACCGCACATTGATTTTTATGAAGTTACGCAGGTACTTACAGCCCACGTATATCGTAGACGCCTTTAAGATATTCTTATCACTGTAGGCAATTTTAAGTATTGCTTTGACACAAATGTAAGTTATTGTTATCATGTAGTAAGAGTAACCCTAGCCTGCTACCGTAGCCATGACCAGGTGATAAATGCTGGATCATGCTCACCGGAGAAGTAGCGGATATATCCAGTGTGTGCGCGGCATAAGGGCACTTAAATACTGTTGAACCGAAAGTCCTCTCTAGAGGTTGTTGGTATGCCATCTATATGATGTCCAAGCCAGATAGCGCTAAACTCTTCTGTGCCAATTTGATCTAGGTGAGTTCAGATCAATAAATAGGATTACTACCAATAACTACAGCATTTAATAAGAACTTTTTATTCACTTAAGAACCTAAATTGTCATGTTTATGAAAATGAATTTTCCATTAGCTTACGGCAGCACAATTTAATGATGAAAAATTTAGATTATTTTAGAATACTGCAACCTGAAGGCATATGTTCTTTATCTGTAAGACATCATGTAACGTTCCTCTTTCATAAGAGATTAAAAGTTAAAACATAGATTCTCTTTGTCTCAGTAAAGTATTATGTATTTCGTTTGAGCACTATGTATGTTGAGCATTATGTAGGCCAGTTGAGCACAAAAACAAACGTTATTTAAATATGCTTCTTGACGTATATTCAACTGATGTGCCAATGTCATAGATAATTTACGCAAAATTAGATACCTCCATAAAGCATTTAAGTATATTTTATATAGAAGTTAACGTATAAGTTAACAGTAGTGCGAAAATTAATGCTTTAAAATTTTAAAAGGGAATTCGGCAACATATGCACAAAAGAGATGTGAAAAAGTGGGTCCTTTAGTATAACAAAATCCTAAAAAAAAGTCTAGAAGAATCTTCTAGAGATTATGAAATACTATCAACTGGACTATACATCGCGGAGATTACATCCGTCCTAGTTCGTGCCTTACGAAATTGAACGTCATCCACTGGGAATTGAACTATCAACTGGACTGCAAATGAAGGGGGAAAACTGATAAGTTTTAGAGATGGTCGTCTGCTTTTATTGGCAAACTGAACAAGGACCAGGAAAATTCTCTGTGCTATTTAAAAACTTCAAGTCAGTCGCATTTCTAAAAGACATACCTTAATGTTAATTGGACTGCCCATGTAATCTTATATTTTCGGCGAAGCTTCTTCTTTTCAGACTTTTCATGTTATATTATACAAATGATACTACATTCTCACATATAATTTCATTAAAATTATTTACATATATACAAAGTTCGTAACAATACGTTGAGTTTTGGAAAGGAGGAGGGAATAATCTTCTAGCATTGGTGAAAGAATGCATAGGGCAAAACAGGTTGAGACCCACTGCTCTAGGTTCTGTTGTTTGTAGCTTCACTGGAAAAAAAAAAAAAAAAAAAAAAAAAACTGCTTAGTCGATACTTTTGATGCAGATTTTCAGTTGAATGAATTTACCCATAGAAGTAGATCCGGCTGAAAATCCATTCGGCCCCCATATGTGTACAGTTGAATCAATTGTGCAGACAGACCTTTTTCAAGGGAGTTCTCGCATCTGTGTTTCTTGACAGTTTTGGAATCAAGGTTGCAATAGTTCTATTTATCATTCGCAAATGAACTCCAGTATAAGATTCCGTAGGCAGCTCAATTCAATAGAACCCTTTATACAAAATTCCATAAAAGTCTAATTCGTGACCATCTTAACAAGATAGAACAAAACCATATTTTTAATAACTTTGAATAAAATTTTAATTACACTACTAACGATTAACATCGGAACAAGCATAACTCTAATTGCGCAATAGAAAAATATAGCTTGGTAGAGTAAGAATACAGATTCAAGTGGCACATTATTTGGATTAGCTTTAGGGAATGTAAATTCACCTATTTTTGTAATTACCGGTAATGAAGTAAAACTAAATAAAACCAATTTACCAATAATGTACTAGTATTTTCTCTTCCCGAAAAATGTGTGATATCGCTATAGGATCTCTCTTTAGATCTCTCTATAGGATCTTTAATCACATAAACTAATCTAGATCCTACTAATGAAACTGACGACTTCTCGCGCAGGCGTGAAATAATACTAGCACAGAAGAAGGGTGAAAAATAAGCCTTTCTTAATTTCAACTATGAACAGAAAGACATATACTTCGTGCTTTACAATAACACCGATAACTTGCAGTGGAACTTAAGCGTTGTTACACAAATCATTTCAAGTCGTAAAAAGAATACTGCTGGATTAGCACTTTTAATTTATGTCTAACTCGACAAGCTAATTATCACACGATAATTATCCAAATGGCCAAAAGCAGCAATTCCGCGTAACAGCAATTCCGCGTAATAGCAAGGTCAGAAACGGAACATGCGCTGGCTAGCGAAAACACGCTCTGAATAAAGTCCAAGATTCACCCATTTTAATACTTTAAATTTACGTCCTGGCGAGGAAATGCAAGGGAAGTTGAAGAGTTCAGGAAAGATAACAAAAATTTGAATAATAGGTTGAATGAACTAAGGGAAACCCTACAACTCCAAGGGTAAATAATAATTAAAAAAAAAAAATAAATAAATATTTTATATGAAATTTATCAGCGCACATTTTCAGGCGAATTTTACAGCCAAAGGTCACATAGAATGATCAGGAGAATAGGGAAGATGTTCAGTTATTTTGATGTGTTTTTGTTCAAGAAATTCCACTGTCAGTCTTAATGAGAATATGAATTGTCATGGCGAACCATAAGTCCCCCCCCCCAGTTCTTGAAGAATATCTGCAAGATACTTAGTGGTGTATCAGTTTTATTTTAACTGTTTTCTGTCAGTCTAACTGGATGACTTTGACCAATCCTTTACTTCTGAAGAAAAGCGGCATGTATTTTTTTCCTTGCCCCTTGTCTTTTCACCATTTGCATTTAGGGGTCATCTTCAAAGATCCATACGACTTTCTTGATGTGTTGAATTCCAAAAAATGGCATGTGCGTTTCATCAACAGTTATGATTTTAGAAATAATGTAGTGTCCATTATCATTACGTAATTTTAGGATTTCTTTACTCATTATGGTATACTGTGCTTTTTTTTCTATCCTGATAATTCATGGCACCCAACGACGAACAAATTCTTCATATTTAGTACCTCATGAACAGTTTTATGTATACTTGCAGATCTAATGTTGAGTATCTTCTGTATCATTTGGAAGGTACAGCGATTGCCATTGATTAACATTTTTCGTATGGCCACCATGTTACCTGCGACCAGGACGCCTATTCTATGATCACTGGATCTGTCTACAATTTAAGCGAACAATATTGACTCAAAGAAACCGGTATGGACAGCTATCAACAACTTATCGGAGAAAGCCATTCTGTGGTCCTCAGTTGGTGGGCGGGTGGGTTCATTTAACTTTACTGAAAGGGGACAAGGCTTCAAGGAGCTTTAGACCAATCGCAGTACAGACGAGTGACGAAATTTATAGCGCGCGCTGGCTGAAGTTCTAGGAATTTCTCCCATTATTTCACTAACTCACACGCTGCATTTGTAGTTCGAAAAAATTGCACAAAACAGTATTATGACCACACGCAGCGGAATATGCT